CTTCCATCTTCTTTTGAAGCTTCTTGCATCATTAAATATTTTGCCCATAGAATCCTTTAGTATTTCAAGCTGAGGCTTGATTTTTTTCTTCAGTTCTTTCAGCTTGAGTATTTTCATGTGTTAACCATGATCACCCCCATACTTCAATCAGTTTGTCCTAGGGTGGTGGCTTGCGTGTTGCTGTGATTCTAGAAGTTATGCCACTGGTGTTTCGAATATCAACAGTGTCATCCATGGCAGATACTTTTCAGCAGAGCTTCCAGCTAAGAACAGACCAGGAAGTAATAGGCAGTCCACGTCTAAGGGATAAGTCTCTGATGAAATCTTCTGGATAACAACAAAACATTATCTGATATACTGCCTGAAAATAAACCCTTCAGGTTGGAAAGCACTCAAAATACAAGTGAGGAAGAACTGCCTCTTCACAATAGAGTCAACTATAACGACATGAACTGAGCAAAGCTTTTGGGATCTTCACTTACTAATGGAGCACAACTCAAAATGAGAATAAATAGCTGCAAACATCCATTAATTATCAGAATGTGGAGTGTCAGAAATGAAATGGAACACACAAATTTCAATAATTTAAGCATTAGTGAGCTAAAAAGGACAGGTATTGGCCATTTTGCATCAGATAATCATATGGTTTACTATGCCAGAACTGAGGAATTCAAGAGGAATGGTGTCACATCACTCATCAACAAAAATAATATTTCAGGGAATTCCAGAACACTTCATTGGACTCATGTGGAACCTGTATGTAGAACAAGAGACAGACAGTCCTTGGACCAGAATGAGGGGCTACTGCATTGTCTAACATCAGGAAAGATGTGTATCAGGGTTGTGTCCTTTCACTATAACTATTCAATCTGATGCTAAACAAATAATCTGAGAAGCTGGATTGTAAAAAGAAAAACGTGGTATCAGGATTGGAGGAAAGTAGAAGACATAATCTTGCTTGCTGAAAGTGAAAAAGACTTAAAGCACAAAGAATACAGGATGGATTACAATTCAAGGTAAAGAAAACAAAAGACCTCACAACTAAACCATGATGAATAGAGAAAAGATTGACGCTGTCAAAGATTTTATTTTACTTGGTCCCACAATCAACACTCATCAGCCAAGAAATCAAAGGGCATACTGCATTAGCCAAATCTGCTACGAAAGACCTCTTTAAGGAGCAAAGATGTCACTTTGAGGACTAAGATGATCCTGACCCAAGCCATAGTATTTTCAATCACCTCACATGCATGTGAAAGTTGGACAATGAATAAGTAATAATTACCAAAGAATAATGGAAGCATTTGAATTATGGTGTTGATGAAGAATATTGAAAGAACCATGAACTGCCAAAAAAAAACACAAAACAACAAAGTTTGGAAGAAGTACACCCACAATGCTCCTTAGAAGGGAGGATGATGAGAATTCGTCTTGTGCTTTGGACATGTTATCAGGAGGAACCAATCCCTGGAGAAAGAGATTGGTTCAATAAAGTGGAGGGTCAGTCAAAAAGACAGACCCACAACGAAATAGGTTAACACAGTCCTGAAGGAACTTGATTTAGTAGAAGAAATCTACAGGGATACAAAAAAATTGGCCTACTGTGCCACACATAGGAGTCACAGTGGAACAGTGGTTAAGCACTTTGCTACTACCCAAAAAATTTGGCTCCTTGGGAGAAAGACGTGGCAGTATGCTTCCATAAAAATTACAGCCTTGATATGAAGTGAGGGGAGATGCACAAGAACACCCATACTTGCAGATAGTACCCACTTGACCTAGCTTCAATGACTGGATGATTAGAACTTAACTAGAGGAAGAAAGACGTGGGAAAAAAGAGTAATCACCTACAATTTGATGAACTTGATCTATGCTTGTGGATGCAGTAGGTCAAAGGCAGGAACAAATCTTTACAGTGAGGATCATTCCCACCACCTTGGTATACAGGGTTGACAAGGATGGGCAACTTAGATATTTGCTACCCAAAATGGGGGGG